GTGTAATTCACCAATAAAGCCATCTGGTCTTGGCCTTTTTGTTGTTGTTGGGAGTTTTTAATTACCTGGTCAATTTCTTCTTTTGTCATGTTGTTGTTGTTAAGTGCCATTGAGTCGGTTCCGACCCATAGTGATCCTGTATAGGGTTTCCAAGGAGTGACTGGTGAGCTTGAACCACCGACCTTGTAGTTCAAAAGACTTTGCAGCCTGGCGCATTCACCCACAGCGCCACACAGGACATTTTTGTTATAGGTTTGTTCAAATTTTCTACTTCACTCTGTTACTTTAGGCTGTTCATGTTTTTCAAAAACTTTATCCATTTCTTCTAGATTTTCAGATTTATTGGAGTACAATTCTTCATAGCATTCTGTTATTATCCTTTATATTTCCATTGGTTCTGTTGTGATGTCACCATTTAGTTTTTTGTGCGTGTTATTTGCATCTTCTTTTCTTTTATTAGATTTGTCAATGGTCTGTCAATTTTATTGATCCTTTCAGAAAACGAACTTCTTGTCTTGTTGGTTCTTTCTATTGCTTTTCTGTTTTCTAATTCATTTCGTTCTGCTCCAATCTTACTATTTCTTTTCTTCTGGTGACTGTAAGCTTATTTGCCGGTGTTTTTCTAATTGTTGGAGATGCTGTGCTGATGTGTTGGTTTGGGTTCTTCTTTATTTTGGGATATGCGCATTTATTGCTTTAAATCGCCCTGTAAGCACTGCTTTTGCTTTGTCCTGTGTTATGTTTTTGTTCTCATTTGATTCAAGGAATTTTTAATTTTTGGTTTTTTATTTGTTCTATTACCTAGTAGCTTGTAAACAGGGCATTATTCAATTTCCGTGTATTTGATTTTGTCTCCTTGATCTTCTTATAGCAACAACAATTATTGAATTGTTGTTGATCAGAGGATTACCTGATCCTGTATTTTTGTGGTTCTTGTGGGAGCATTTGGGTCTCTTTGTAGAACTTTACATTTTGTTAAATACTTGATTGAAGTAGAAGATACACTTTTTTTGGATTTTTTCCTGCTGTTCTAGCCTCTTATCAGAAAAGAAATGAGGTAAACAGCACCAGAGTTATTCTCATTGTTGTTGTTAGGTGTCGTGGAGTAAGTTCTAACTCATAGTGACGTTATGCACGATAGACCAGAACACTGCCCAGTCCTGTGCCATCCTCACAATTATTGTTGTGTTGAAGCCCATTGCGGCTGCCATTGTGTCAATACAACTTGTTGAGGGTCTTCGTCCTTTTCGTTGACACTCAACTTTAACATGATGTCCTTCTCCAGGAACGGGTCCCTCCTGTAACATATCCATAGTGTGAAAGACTAAATCTCACCATCCTAGTGAATCCCTGGTGGACCATAGAAAGTGGCAGACACACTGTAAAACAAAATCCTCCATTTTGTATTTAGTCAGATGTCAACATCAAACTCTGCACTCTTCAGTTTATACATTCCATTCCTTCTAATCGTTTTGAAAATTAGAACTGTTTTCCTGCACCTCCCATCTTCTCCTTTCTTCTGGCTTTCCATTCTTACTCAAAGACAACTTGTTCCTTTATGTGGATGATTTTTCTGGATCCCATCCCATATCTCCATAGATTCTTTTCCTTCTCAGAATGTGCTCAAAGAGATCAACATCTTTTCAGTGGAAAGTAAACAAAAATTGCAATAATTCAGACTATTCTTGCAGTTGGCAATCATGAACTGGGTTTTCTACTGAAATACTGTAGATAATTCTGCTCTTTTCACTCCTTACAGCTTCTTGGCTGCTGGCATTTTTTGGCCTCTCTCTTATCGCAGGCTCCTTGCCCATCTGTTTGTAGCTTTCAGATTTCACATCTTGCTTTCTCCATTTCAATTTGATCATGTTAATCTTATTTTCTGCCTCAATGAATTGAATTTGAACCACTCCCATTTTTCTTTTTTTCCCCTGAAACCCAAACACTTCACTCAGGAAGTGGCCTGTGTAGAGTTTTGTTTCAGCTTTTCTTTTCCTTTTTTTTTTGCTTTTGTGGGAGGTTGGGGGGTTGGGGATCCTTGTATTTATGATTATTTTTTGAAACAAAAAATTAGAAAACATAGATCTTAATTCATATGAAAACAACAAGAAGCTAGGTTTACAGATTAATATAAATAATGTGTTTTTGAAAATGAATTATTTCCGATGAAAAATAAATTTCAGTGAGAAATACGACTTAGCTTTTTGTTTGCATTTTTCTTCTTTTGTTTCAACTTTTCTTAAAGTACCATGCCAACTCTTTGCTCAGTGTCTGCCCCTCCCCCTCTTACCTGCTATCTCTGCTAATGCACATTTAGCAGCACACTGATCTCAGCGTCCTTGAGCCTGGCTTGGACAGACCTTTCTACTCTGATTTTTTTTCCCACCTCACATTCAGGCTCCGTTCTCTATCATTATGTCTTAAATTTGTCAATACCTTTTTTTTTTTTTTCTTAAAAGACTCATGTATTTTGATCCATGTCAATGCTCTATCTCTCTTTATGTGGCGAAACCAATTTCATCATTATCACTGATGGTAGGTGTCCCTTTGTGGGTCTTTATCTACTTGCAGTATTGCTTTTAGACTGCATGGATTCAGATCCTAGCTCCAGGACATGACCAAAATTTGGTAGCAGTGATGGGCTTGGGTGTATCAACAATTGTGAGGTTGGCACAGGATGGGGCAGTGTTTCGTTCCGTTGTGCATAGGGTCGCTGTGAGTGGTGTCGACACGATGGCACCTAACAACAACAAAACTCTTGGAGTCTTAGTTGTATAGTATGTAAAATCTTGTTGTTGTTGTTGTTAGAGTGAGTTCTGACCCTATATAGAGTTTTTGAGGAGTGCCTGCTGGATTTGAACCATTGACCTTGTGGCTAGCAATTCAGTGCTTATTGTACAGTGCCACACCAGGACTCCAGTATGTAAAACGGCGATGGTTATTTACTTGCTGTGAAGGTTTGTTGTGATGTTTAAATGAGATGCTACAATATTAATCACTGCAAACAGTGTTGCTTGTAATTGATCCCCCTTGCCACTCTACAATGATTTAGGCAATTCTGTAATAAGGGGTGTGGCACTACAGGATAAGCACTGGACTTCAAGGTCATTTGAATTGCAAGGTCGGCAATTCAAACTCACCAGTCACTCCTTGGAAACCCTATACAGGGTTGCTATGAGTCAGAACCAACTCGACGACACTTAACAACAATAAGTGGAAGCTTTGATTATTAATACTTGGATACTGGCACTGTGGGCTAATGTGTTGAGCTGCAGGGTCGGTTTGAACCACAAGGTTGGTGCATCAAACTCACCAGCTGCAACTTGGAAACACTATAAAGGGTCATTATGAGTCAGAACTGACTTGGTGGCACTTAACAGCAACAACTGCCATTACATTGGGTTCGCCGTGGCTTTGTAGGATAAGCACTGAACTCCAAGCCACAGGTCAGTGGTTGGGGCCCACCAGTGACTCCGAGGGAGAAAGATGAGACTTTCTGCTCCTGCAAATAGTTATGGCCTCGGCAACCTTATCAGACTCATTATGATGTCACTTAACGACAACAATTGCCATTTCACGGAACCCCTGGGTGGTGCAAGGGTTAAGCTCTTGACTCTTTGGCAGTTCAACCCCACCCAGAAGTTCCTCAGAAGAAAGACCTGGAGTTCTGTTTCTGAAAGGTCACAACTTTGAAAACCCTAGGGAACACAGCTCTCCTCTGCAAGCATGGGGCTCACCATGAGTCAGAATTAACTCAATGGCAAGTAATCGCTATCATTTCACCAGACCTTGGAAGACTTGTTTTTCTGGGTGAAGAAATGTTTTCTTGTGTGAAAGGTTTCCTAGTCACAGTCAAACCGGCCCATGAGCCCTACCAGGTCGAGTGGCTCCTCTCTTCTATCTGTGACATTCAGGCCTCCACTCCAGGAAGGAAGACATCAAGTCAGCTCCTGAAAGTCAACAGAATAACTACGGAAACCTCTCCAGATCCCACGATGCCATGATCACATGGCTACTGATGGTGAGAACATCATCTAGACACTCTTTGGATTTGATTCCAAATGGTGGCATTATCCTTCCTTCTTTGTGACCTCGACTGAGTTTTGAACAGATGAGTAAAAGGGAAGGTGGCTCAGTCAGTCTTAGATCCAGTGTTCAATATGTGAGCATGAGAAGACGCACCTTCTGAAACTTTCCCGAAGCCGGACCAGAAGTGTTAGCCTGGAAAGTGGCCATGGAAATGAAAGCCTACCAGCTGCTCCTCGGAAATTCTATACAGGGTCTCTATGAATCGGAACTGACTTAATGGCACTTAACGACAACAACAACAGCCATTTCATTGGGTGCACGGTGGCTCTGTAGGATAAGCACTGAAATCCAAGCCACAAGGTCAGTGGTTGGAGCCCACCAGTCACTCCGAGGAAGAAAGATGAGGCTTTCTCAAATAAAATCTGATAAATTCCGTGAAAACAAAGCCTGAGCCATTTACTTAGGAAGGAAATAGAAAGGGAGAAATGGGATAATTGACTAAAGATGGAATTGTCTGAAAACATATAAGCAACAAGATTTTCCCCACGATCCCTAATTATAGGACTCTTTTGTCACTAAAATTATAGCACGTTCAGAGTATCTTTAACAGCTTTTTTAGTAACATATTAACCATATGTAAAAATTTTGATTTGGCCATAAAGTGCTAGGAGAGCTATGGTTCGCTAGGATTAATGAATAACATTTGTTTATTTAGTTTACTTGAAAAAAAATCGTTCTAAAATCTGTTTATATATCTGTTCTCTCTAGGATGAACTCTATATAAGTTCAGCAGATTGTGGACTGTGCTTTATTTTTCCCCTCCCTTTTTTTTTTTTTCTTTTTTTTTGTCTTCCCTGCTCAGTGCCCAACCCAAGTTCAAAGGCTGATGAGAGAGAAAAACTCATGAGGAGTTTTGAACAAGACTCCAGGGAGACTTGGTCAGTGTATGGGAGCGTGGAGCTTGAGGAAAGATGTCAGGCTCTTTCTGGCTCCTTCTCAGCTTTGTTGCTGTTACTACTGCTCAGTCCACCAATGATCTGGCGGAGGCCTTTATGAACAACTTCAACCAAGAAGCTGAAAACCTATATCATCAAAGTTCACTTGCTTCTTGGGATTATAACACCAATATTACCGACGAGAATGCCCAAAAGATGGTGAGTTCTTACGATGCCATAGAGATATTGGTTGTTTCTTAAAGAGTGGGTTATTGCTCATAAAACTGAAAAGAGCAATCAAACAAATGCTCTTAGCTATGGATTGGATGTTTGCTTCTGTATCTTTGATTCTTGAGTGCCAGGTGACTAAACTTAGATGACTTGGGGGGTTATTTGGAATATTTTAACAAAATAAATCACTGGTCTCAGTCCAGATTCTTGGAAACCAGTGACCATGCTTTATAGAGTTACTACTATAATTCTCATCATAGTCAGGGTTTCAAAACATTTCCTGGGAATGCTATTAGTTATTGAGTTAATAATATTCCCCAAGCTTCCAATACCAACAGGAATATCTAAAATGATATTCAAATGATACATTAACTGAGCAATGAAGCTGGAGGCTTAACAGAAAGGTTAGCTAGTAATTAAGCTAACTGCAGGTTGGGAAGCTGGACTCGTGACTACTGCCCCTCATTGTCACGGAGCTCTGTGGGACTTCCAAAGGTTACAGAATCCGTCCAGAGTATTCCAAGCTGTAATTAAACTAATTTTGACAAACATACCCCACAGCAGTTCCCTTACATGTTAAGTGACAGAGAATGGGGCTACATTTTTGTGGCATTTGGGCAGCAATACTTGCGTTCAAAAGTATTGTTCAGGATTTCTTTCTTTCTTTCTCTCTCTCTCTCTCTCTCTCTCTCTCTCTCTCTCTCTTTCTTTCACCAAATCATGAGTGCATGCTTAAACAAAATGACTACAATTCACTAGACAGATCAGATCAGAGACCTAATATCTCATTTGAAATCTGCCAAGGGGGTGTTTCTGTTTTTCTAAAGCTTAGAGAAACCCAGATTTTGACAGCCTAGAGCTGCTGTGGGTGATGTTTTTTCGTGTCTCGTAGTTTGGTCTTTCCTCTGGTCACCTCTTCACCGTTGCCCTTCCTTACTTTAAATTTGTTCTTTGTTGGAAATGGTAGTAGCTGTCATTAGCTGATAGACTGTTTTGTTAACTGAATTGTCCTGGGTGGTAGTGAAGATAGATGTACTAGTGTCATGCCTAAGAGTGTTGGAGCTAAATTGTCTAGGTTCAAATCCTGACTCCACCACGTAGCGGTATGAACTTGAGATAGTTAATGAATCTCTTTGCACCTTATTTTTTCCATCTGTGAAAAAGAAAACAATACTCATATCTGCCTGTTAGGGTAGCTGCAAAGACTGAATTGATCCCCAAAGCTGAGAGAATAGTGCTTAAGTGACCACAGACCAACAGGAGGCAAGGAGCAGTTCTATGGAGCTCCTAGACACTGAGAATGCATGTTATGGAATGAGACGTAATGATGTGTGCAGAAACCATCTTTGGCTCATTAAGTACTGCCACCTTTGAATTGTACTGGTTGATTAGAGCAAAGGCCAGGAATAAAAGGGCAGAAATCACACAGTACGGCTAAACTGCAGGAAAGCATGGGCCCTTGAAAGGGAAAGTAAAAATATTTCAGTGCAAGAAGCAGATAAGCTGGTCTCGCTTTCCTCAAGCAGTGGTGAAGGGTGAATTAGTACTCTTTGGTGCACCTGTGTGAGTTTACCTGGGGAGGGAGACAATTGGGGAGGTGCAGGTGACTCTTCCTTTTGTTCTCTGATCATGTCTGTTGAGACCACCCCATCTTGATGCACTGGGCATTCTGGGAGGTGATACAAGGGGTCTCAAAATGAACAGGCAGCTGAGATATGGTATCCTGTAAGGGCAACAAGCACACGCTAGTGCTGCCAAGTGTAAATATCTGGTGCTTCGTCCAGGTGTGGACTCTGGAGCCAGACACCCTGTGTTCAAATCCCAACTCTGACTCTTAGAAGTTGCAAGATCTTGGACATGTTTCTTAATATTCTGGAATCTCAGTTTTCACATTGGTAAAATCAAGAAGGTAGTGATCATAATTGTTGCTGGTAGCTGCCATCGAGTTGCCCCTAATTCCTGGTGATACCATGTACAATGGGATAGGACTGTTGTGGATCCATAGGGTTTTCACTGGCTGATTTTTGGAAATAGATTGCTTGCCTTTCTTCTTCTTCTTCTTTTTTAAAATGTTTTATTGTGAATTATGTGATAGTTTACATGGAGGAACATTAGCTTTACATTCATCCTATCACATATCATTTCATTGCCATGGTTGCAATCCCCTCCATGCATCATCAACCAACTAAAGGGTATACCCCACAAGTATGTCCCTAGGTCATTAGCACACAGCTCCTCTCCCTCTCTGGGTCTAGAGTCCTGAGCCTCTCCATCTCTGCCTCCATCTCTGGCATCACTGTTTCTCTGGGTAGGGTCCCGCCCTCCACTCTTCTCCCTTGATGGTCCCAGGGGTCTCTGCTCCTGGACTGCAAAGTCAATAACCCCCCTCTTTTTGCTACAAAACGTCTACCTTTACATTTACAACCCTCACAGTCAGTCCTGATAGCAATTATTCACTAATGCACCACCTGAGTGCTATCCCAATCTCCTTTCATCAGCCCAGCCCAGATAGATTGGGTACAATTCAGTGGAGATTCTACCTTCCTCTGTGCCCTCTTGAAAGCTTGTAAGCCAGTCACTTCTTGCCTTTGTAGACCCCCCTCCCCACTTTGGGTAGGCAATGTCCAAGTTGCCCATCCCTGTCTGCTCTGTGTATGGAGGGGGTGGGAATGATCCTTGCTGTAAAGATTTGTTACCTCTTTTGAGCTACTGCATCCATAGGTGTAGGTCAAGTTCATCAAATTGTATCAGATTACTCTTTTTTCCTCTTCTTTCTTCTTCTAGTTGAGCTCTGATCATCCAGTCATTGAAGCTAGGATAAGTGGGTATTATTTGCAAGTGCGGGTGTTCTTGTGCATATGCCATCTCTTCTTATCAACTGGATGCTTCACTCTCCACTCTAGTCCTCTGTGGCTATGACACTGACTCTGGGCCCAAGAGTCCCCAGGTCTTGCCACACTGCTTGACAAACAGGTCTCCACCCAGGTTCACAGGAGTCTATTGAACGTTGTAGGGCTTAGCTCGCAGCTTCATTGTTGTTTTTCCCTCACTTCCCATTATCGGTGACCAATGTGGTCACCAGTCAGAGCACATGTCTGCTCGTGTATTCCCTTTGGAAGGGGGTTTGCTGTGAGGGGACCCGACCACTTGCCTTGATGGCTCCCAGGTGAACAGCATACTTGTTCTTGTAGTAATCAATCAGACTGCTGTTATTGTTTTCGGGCTTTTCCTGCTGGTCTTTCTTTCATGAAGTATCTTCTGTTGTTCTAGCCGCTCCAGGCTGGTCTGTTTGTCCTTTCAAGTGGAAAGTTCCCACCTCAGAAGATTCTGGATGGGGTTCAGGATTCCACCTATGGTCTTATGTAATCCAGAGGCCTCGCAGGAAGCCTCCTTCACTGGGCACGTTGTAGCCCCATTGTAGGTGTTCCGATCAGTTATACTGCCTTTCTTCTTAATCCATGTTCATCTTGAAGCTCTGCCAAAACCTGTTCAGCCTCATAGAAACATGCAAGTTTCCACTGACAGACAGGTGGTGGCTGTGCATTAGGTACATTGCACAGGATCTCCCACGTGGAAGGAGAGACTTCTTTCATTGAACCACCATAGCCCCGAATGATTACAATGTGATCAGAATCATATTAATATAGTCTATACCCACCTTCAGTATCCTTGTGGGATTGGTTCTGGGACCCCTGCGATTACCACTATATAAAATGGCATAGTGTTTGCTTATAACTTATACACATCCTCCCATATACTTAAAATCATCTCTAGATTACTTTTAAAAAGTAATAAAACATGAATGTTATGTAAATAGCACTTTGAGAGATTGCTTTTTAGGAGTCATTCCTTCCCCAAATATTTTCAATTGTGGTTGGCTGAATTTGTGTTTAGTGGAATTCAGATCCTGAGGATGCACAGCCCGCAGGTGTGGAAAGCTGACTACACAGGTGTTTTACAAAGATATTAAACCTGTCAACTATGGGTGACCCTGCTGCTATTTGAAATGCCCGTGGCATAGCTTCCAGTAGTATTACAACAATATGCCAGCCACCACAACATGACTAAATGATTAATCATGCAGTCAGCTGCAAACATCCATTAGTAATCATAACATGAAATATATGAACTATTTATTTAGGAAAACTGGAAGTTGTCAAAAATGAACTTGAACCCTTAAATATCAATATCCTTGTTGAAAAGGACTGGTATTAGCCATTTTGAATAGACAAGCATATGGTCGACTATGCCAGAATGATGAACTGAAGAAGAATGGCATAGTATTCATTACCTAAAAGAACATTTCAAGATCTATCCTGAAGTACAATGCTGTGAGTGATAGGATAATAGCTATAGATCTATCTAGGAAATATGACCAGGTAATATGACCACTATTCAAATTTATGCACTAATCCCTAATGCCAAAGATGAAGAAATTGAACATCTTTACCAACTTTGCAGTCTGAAATTGACCAAACATGCAATCAAGGTGCACTGATAATTTCTGGTAGTTAGAATGCAAAAGTAGAAAGCAAAAAAAAAAAAAAAGAAGTTGGAAGCAAAGAAGAAGGATTGTTGTTGTTATTAAGTGCTGTCGAGTCAGTTTATAGGATTTCTGAGGAGTAGCTGGTGAGCTTGAACTGACTACCTTGTACAAGTTGGAAAATATGACCTTGGTGAAAGAAATGATATTGGAGATCCCATGATAGAATTTGCAAGACCAATGACTTATTCACAGAAAATTCTTTCTATCAACAACGTAAAACCTACTATTATTCATGTGTACCTTGCAGGATGGAATGCACAGGAATCAAATTGACTCCTCTGTGGAAAGAGATGATGTAGAAGCTCAATATCATCAGTTAGAACAAGGCCAGGGGCTGTCTGTGGAACAAATCATCAATTGCTCATATTCAAGGTCAAATTGAAGCTGAAGAAAATTAAAATCAAGCCCATGAAAGCCAAAGTGCAACTTTAAGTATGTCACA